AAACCATGCTCTTTTTAGCCAAATGCTAATCTGTAAATGTAGATATAAGATCTTCTGTAAAGTTTTTCAAAGTTCGGTGGATGTATACTCCTTTTCAAAATCACATTTATGGTAAACCCACAGGCCATTTTCACATATTCTAACTTGAAACAATCAGAAGATCATCACTTCAGCTTCATGGCTTTTGTTTGTTTGTTTGTTTGTTTTGGTTTTATGAGACAGGGTTTCTCTGTAGCTTTGGAGTCTGTCCTGGAACTCTTGTTGACCAGGCTGGCCTCGAACTCACAGAGATCTACCTATCTCTGCCTCCCAAATGCTGGGATTAAAGGTGTCCACCACCACTGCCCAGCTTCAACTTTATTTTTAAACAAAACTAAATAAAGGTTTATTAAACGTGGTAGAATTTTTATTTCATAAAATGGAAAGCAAAACTACTGTATTCATGACATCTAATGCTTCAACTGTTAACCTTGTTAAGGATTACCTGGAGTCAAATGTTGAAAAGTAAACTGACTATATATTTTTTATTTCCCAGAAATTGTTTATTTGATCTTCCTACAAAAGACAACTTCAAATATTAAATGATTCTCCACATACTCAAATGCCATGGGATTATTACCTAACATTACTGGCAGAACCAAAAATGGTAGTAGGACCAACACAGCAAATTCAACACCAGCCAGAAAGGATGAGTGAGCCATCTCACAGCAAACCTGAACCAATGCACCCCACCCCCATTCTGTCCACTGTGACCTTCCCCAGGCCAACACTGGTCCCTGGCCCTGCAGCTGCTGTGCACCCACCCCTAATCCCAGCTGGCTTCCACCACTGAGGGACAAACCATACCAGCCAGAACAGGCCCAGGCCACATAAGCCAGAACAGAACTCCAGCAGACTCCACAGGTCCAAACACAGTCCACACTAGTTGGCAGAACAGACGCTCCAGGCCCACATAACACCATCTGAAAGAACAGCCCCAGGAACTATACAGGAGGTCAGGCTGGTCTTAGGTACCCCAGAAGAAGACTCAGACTTTTCTGGAGGCCAGGTCCGATCTGGAAACCCCAAATGACTACCAGGTCAAGGGATTCATCAATCACCAGAACCCTTGGTCATTAATATCTCTCAGTAACAATGAACTCAATTCACCAATAAAAAGACACAGGCTAAGAGAATGAACATGAAAACAGGATTCATCTATCTGCAGCATACAAGAGACACACTCAACATCAAAAACAGTCATTACCTCAGAGTAAACGGTTGGAAAAGATTTTCCAATCAAATGGACCTAAGAAACAAGCTGGTACAGAAAAACTAACATCTAACAAGATAAACTTCCAACTAAAACAAATAAAAATAAAAGGACATTTCATATTCATCAATGAAAAACCCACCAAAATGACTTTTCAATTCTTAACATCTATGCCACAAATGCAAGGGCACCTACATGTATAAAGGAAATATTACTAAAGCTAAAATCACATAATGAACCCCACACATTAATTGTGGGAGATTTGAACAGCCCAATCTCACCAATGAGCAGATCATCCAGTAGAAATTAAACAGAGAAGTATCAGAACTAACAGATCTTGATTCAAATAGACCTAACAGATATCTACAGAATGTTTCACCCAAACACCAAAAGATATACCTTCTCAGCACCTCAAAGAACTTTATCCAAAATTGACCACATTTTCGGTCACAAAGTAAGTTTTAATAGATACAAAAAATTTGGACTAACACCTTGTATTTTATCAGATCACCATGGATTAAAGTTGGAGATCAACAACCTGCAGAAAGCACTACAAACTCATGGAAATTAAACAACTCTCAATTGAATTACCACTGTGTCAAGGAACAATAAAGAAATTAAAGACTTCCTAGAATTCTTTGAAAATGAATGTACAATATACCCAAATTAATGGACATAATGAAAGCAATACTAAAAATAAAGTTCATAGCACTAACGACTTTCATAAAAATTTGGAGAAATTTTATGCTAGCAACATAACAGGAAAACTTCAAAGTTGTAGAACAAGAAGCAAACACACCCAAGAGGAGTAGACAGCAAGAAATAATGAAACTGAAGACCGAAATCAATAGAATAGAAACAGAACAATACAAAGAATAAATAAAAAAAAGATGGTTTTTTGAGAAAATGAACAAGACAGACAAACCTTTATCTAATCTAACCAAAAGGCAGAGAAAAAATATCCAAACTAACAAAATCAAAAGCTAAAAGGGAGATATAATGATAGACACCGAGGAAATCCAGACACTCAATAGTTCATATTTCAAAAACCTGTACTCCACACAATTGAAAAATCTAAAGGAAATGGACAAATTTCTCGACAGATACCACATATCAAAATTAAACCAAGACCAGATGAGCAATTTAAACAGACCTATAACCCCTAAGGAAATAGTAGCAGTCATTAAAATTCTCCCAAAGAAGAAAAGACCAGGTTTAACTACAGAATTCTACCAGAGTTACAAGAAAGAGCTAATAAGAGTATTCCTTAAATTATTTGAGAAAACAGAAGCAGAAGGAACACTGTCAGATTCTTTTTATGAGGCTACAGTTACCCTAATGCCAAAACTACACAAAGACTCAACAAAGAAAGAGAATTATACTCTGATTTCCCTTATGAACATTGATGCAATAATAATGATAATAATAAAATACTGACAAACCAAATTCAAGACACATCAAAAAGATCATCCACCATGCCCAAATGGGCTTCATCCCAGAGATGCAGGGATGGTTCAAAAATCTGTCAATCCATCATATAAACAAACTGAAAGGGGGAAAAAAAAACACATGATGTGATCATTTCATTAGATGCCAAAAAAGCCTTTGATAAAATCCAACACACCTTCATGATAAGTCTTGAAGGGATCAGGGAAACAAGGAACACACCTAAAATATAATTAAAGCAAGTCAACCTCAAATTAAATGGAGAAACTCAAAGCAATTCCACTAAAATCCAGAACAAAGCAAGGCTCTCACCATATCTATTCAATATAGTACTTGAAGTTCTAGCTAGAGCAATAAACAAGGAAAGAAGATCAAGGGGATGAAGATTGGAAAAAAAGAAGTTCAAGTATTGCTATTGTTTTGCAGATGACATGGAAGTATTGTATACATAAGCAATCCCCAAAACTCTGCCAGGGAACTCCTACAGCTGATAAGCACCTTCAGTGATGTGGCTGGATACAAATTAACTAAATAAACAAACAAAAACTTAGTAGCCCTTTTACTTACAAATGATAAAAGGGCTGAGAAAGAAATCAGAGAAACAACACCCTTCACAATAGCCACAAACAATATAAAATATCTTGAGGTGACTAACTAGGCAAGTGAAAGACCTACATGACAGGAGCTTCAAGTCTTAAAAGAAAGAAACTGGAGAAGTTATCAGACTATGGAAAGATCCCATTCCCATGGATCATATTTTAACATAGTAACAATGGTCATCTTATCAAAAGCAAGCTACAACTTTATTGCAATCCCCATTAAAATCCCAACACAATTCTTTACAGACCTTGAAAGAACACTACTCAACTTCATATTGAAAAGTAAAAATCCAGGATAGCTAAAATTATCCTGTACAATAAAAGAACTGTCAGAGGTTATCACAATCCCTGATATCAAACTCTACTACAGAGTTATAGTAATAAAAACAGCATGGTATTGCAATAAAAATAAACAGGTGGATCAATGGACTCTAATGAAAGACCCAGACAGAAATTCATACATTTTGACTTTTGGCAAAAAAGTCAAAACTATATGGAGAAAAAAAAGCACTTTCAACAAATGCTGTTGGCATGTAAAAGAATGTAAATGTGTCCTGCACAAAACTCAAGTCCAAGAGGAACAATGATGTCAACATAAATCCAGTTACACTGAACTTCACGTAAGAAAGTGAGGAATACCTTTGAACACCTTGGCACAGGAGACAGCTTCCTGACTAGAACACCAGTAGCATAAGCACTACGGCCGACAATTAATAAAGAGGACCTCAAGAGACTGAAAAGCTTCTGTAAGGCAAAAAACACTTCTAAAAGGACAAAAATGCAGCCTACAGAATGGGAAAGATCTGTATCAACACCACATCCAACAGAGGGCTGATCTATAAAATATACAAAGAACTCAAGAAACTAGACATTAAAAAACAAATAATCCAATTAAAAAACAGGGTACAGATCTAAGCATAAAATTCTCAATAGACGAATTTCAAATGACAGAGAAACACTTAAGGAAATGTCCATCATCCTTAGCCATCAGGGAAATGCAAACCAAAATGACTCTGAGATACCATCTTACACCTGTCAGAATGGCTAAGCTCAAAACCACAAATGACAGCTATGCTGGAGAAGATGTGGAGCAAGGGGAACACTCCTTCATTGCTGGTGGGAGTGCAAATTTGGACAGCCACTTTGGATATCAATATGAGGTTTCTCAGAAAATTGGGAATCAGTATACCTAACGATCCAATGATACAATATATCATTGGGAATATACCCAAAGACTGCTCAAGCATACCACAAAGACATTTGCTCAGCTATGTTCACAGTGGTTTTATTTGTAATATCCAGAACCTAGAAACAACCTAGATGCTCATTAACCAAAGAATGGATAAAGAAAATGTGGTACATTTTCATAATAGATTATTACTCAGTTGTAAAAAAACAAAAATATGAGGAAATTTGAAGGTAAATAGATGGGACTAGAAAAAAATTGTCCTGAGTGAGGTAACCCAGACCCCGAAAAACCAAACATCATTATGTACTCACTCATAAGTGAATATTAACTGGAGCAGGAAGGGAAGGCTGTTGTTGACATGTAAAGTAAATAAATTAATTAAAAAAAAACAATGCAAATTCATGGAAAACACAGCAGCAATGGGTCAGCGGCAAGCATTCTCTGAGCAGAATAAATGCATCCCTGTTCAATACAAGGGATGGAGTCAAGGCCTTCAGCAAAAGTGTACACTTACCGTGATATTTAAATATATGGTTCGCTTTTGAAAATCATAACTGACATAGGCTGATTTTACGCCAATATACTTCACATCAATAGATCGAGGGAAAAGGAAAAACACAGCCAATCCAGACAGCAGCAGGCAGACAGACACAGATGCCATCACATACAGCTTTCTGAAAAGAAAAAGAGGGCTTACATACGTGCCATCCAAAATTACACAGTGCAACATGTAACAAGTTTTCATTTGAATTCTTCTGTTATATATTACAGCAGCAAGAAGAAACATTTGATTTTACCATATTTTCACTATAGAACTATTAGCTAAGGTTGGTACTACTAAGATTTAAAATAGTCTCTTTAGAAGATAAACTATCATTTCTGGAAAATGAGATTTCATCCTTTTAATGAATTATTTAGAACTGATTTTCAATCCAGACTTTACATTAGAATCAAGTGTACGGCCCTTTACAAACACAGAATCCAGGTGTCCATCTGAATTCATGGAAGCAGGGTTTGAACCAGAGAGTCTATCTTCCTGCCATGATAAAACCTGCAAAGCTCATTGCGCAGCATAAACACACGGCTCCCTACCCTCACTAACTCCAGTCCTTTTAGACTCCCTCCCTATGTACTCACGTATTCAGTTCTAAAACTATTGTTTACTTTGATCTACTGAGCAGTGAAGATGATACTTATTCTGTTTTGCTTAGTATTAAGCATGTATAAGAGAAAAAAGATAAATTACCTACATGTCCTTTCTATCCATATAACTCCTCTGAAATGTGTATTTCCTGTCAAGGTTACACTCAAACTGTGGTTTCAGATTTCTTGTGCACTTCAACAGGTAGTGCTCTCCTAAGAGTCACTTTCATTCTGAATCCCACACTCCCTTCACCTTCCTTTGACCTATCCCTTTGTGTACTCTCTCCTCCCCCAAACTTCCTATGTCTCAATCAAGATAACTGCATACACCTTAGAACAGCTGTTAAAAACTCCCTAATGATTTTTCTAGGTACTCTGGCTTCCTAAGAAGAAGAAAAATGGCTTATTAAGAAGAAATAAAGTAAATGAACAAAATTTCACTAAACTGCTACCACGGAGTTTATGCTGCTAGTATGGAGCAAACTAGACAATTACCATTCATTTGCTGGGGAATTTTTTCCATCTTAGTAATAATGATCCCCAAGTAACCAATAAACAAACTCATATTTGTCATGCCTACATATACTCATAGGCACAAAAGAAATATAAAAATCATTGTGATCACACATCCTAACTTTGTTATATTTAAAATATTTCATTACGTTGTTTTATTTTTAATTAATTGTGTACACACACACACACACAGACACACACACGCATGAAAATATAAGCCACCCCAATTAAATATTTTCTTTATAAGAGTTATTGTGGTCATGATGTCTCTTCATAGCAATTGAAACCCTAAGATAGTATGCATGGTAGTTTGAATGAGAATGTTTGAATGCTTAATCATCAGTGAGAGGCCTACTAAGGATTAGGAGCTGTGGCCTTGGAGTAGGTGTGGCCTTGTTGGAGGAAGTGGATCTCTAGGGGTGGGCTTTGAGGTTTCAAAAGTTCAAGCCAGGCCCAGTGTCTCTCTCTTCCTGCAGTCTGTGGATCTGGAAGTAGAACCTCACCCACTTCTCCAGCACCACATCTGGTGGCTCCCTGTCATGCTCCCTACTATGCTAAGGGACTAAACCTCTGAACCTGCAAATAACTCCAATTAGATGTTCTCTTTCCTAAGAGTTAACACTGCCATGTTGTCTTTCCACAACAACAGAACACGAGGTCTTGATGTTTACATGCCTCGTGTCTACTCCATTTCTCTCCCATTTCCCAGGGTATCATATTTGCACTGTGTACATCCAATTTTATAGAAAATGTATTTTTCTAGACATTTTAATGGGTCTGTTGGTTATCTTTTCACATCCTCCCATCAATTTATTTCATTTCTGAACTTGTCAATGTCTAAGTTATTGTCATATCTTGTATAGTTTAAATTTTACATATATTTAAAGATTTCCATCTTTTTGTGTTTCAATTTTCAGCATGTTTTTGATTTATGTTTCTCATGCTCCATATTGAGTAATGTGATGTACTCAGTCCTTTCTGACCTTCTCAAGGCCACTGTGGGTTTTCTGCAATCTCTGTTCTTCTTATTGTAACAAGTTATTCTCAAAAATACTTACAGGAGTGCTGAATGTAGGCACCTTCTTTAGGGGTGGAGCATTTGATTTCTACATCAGGACTCTTACGATCGTTAGAGACTCCCTTGGCTTCGCTTCAAAGCCAAGACCACGCATCTGCTAAATATGCTCCATTCTCTGTGGCCATTATGCTTTGGGTAATCATTACCATTCTGTGGCCAGTGAGAACACAGAATGTCCCATGCCTGAAGAAAAGGGCCTGTGTACATGTGTGTTACTGCCACTATTTTAGGACACTTAATAAAGAGACTTCTGAAGATATAGTTGGCATGAAGTTTTCAAATCCTCATCTCAATCAGTAATTTTTGTTAAAGACACAAGGCATATCATGATATAACCTATCAACTAGATACATTTTTCTTCTTAAATGTTTTAACTAATGTAATAACTTATACAGTTTGAAAGTAAAAATATAAAAATAACAAAAAAGCAGAAATCTTATAATTACTTACGTTCTTCTTGGTTGTAATCGCTGATCACTATATGGGATCAATGCCACCAATTGGTTTTCCTGCCCTAAAGTGACAGATGTACATTAAAAATTCAGTAATACCAGTAACTAAAAACACTGTGGTATTCTGCAACATCTACCTTCAAAAGACCAGAATACTTCTGTCCTTATTTCTTTAGGAAACTGTGATTTATACCTTCAAAAATTTATCCAAAAGTTGAGTAATAAAGAAGAAACTATGGTTTTTCATAATGTCTAATTAACCAAAAGTAGTATAAATAATGAGGGTTCTGCTATCCTTTAATCCACTGGTTCAAGAACCAAATTTCAAAATAAAGCAAAACTGAAAAGTCCTGACTTTCAGGAGATCTGAACTTAGGCCCGTGCCTTCAGCTCCATTGTCTTCCACTCAGTCCAGTGTGACTGAGGGTAGAAGAAACACTGCCACTGCCTTTTCCTGATCCCCAGTTACTCTAGCGCTGAACCAAAACTGCTATTTAATTCTCACGCTCTCAAAAGCTCACTGTTCTCACCTGCATCACTAATTTCAAGAGATGCCCTAAAGAGACATATTTCCTTAGTTCACTTGCTCTAAAAATCACGATCAAAACTCAACTCTCTTCAAACTCTCAGCATCGCCTCCTTTATCCTCATTCTTGGTCCTTAATGTGATACAGGGAGAGAATGTCCCTAACAATGTACTTTGCATAGGTACATTTTTACATGTTCTAAATTAACCTACAGGACAGAAAACAGAAACTGGAAAGAGATCAGTTCATTCAGCTCACGGCATCAGACAAAGAAAAGAAGCACGTGTTCCCTATTCCTTTCCTGTATGGTAAAGAGGAAGCGACCAGACCACACTGCTTTCTGTTTTTGGAACCAAACAACCAGACAACAAAACCTTCTCTTTCTATCCTCTCCCGCTTTCCATGGGCTTCTGTTTTCCTGGCATCTTTTCTAGACTCAGAATGTAAATAATTTATAGTTTTTCTCCAAGTATTTCACTATGGATTATCTTGGTCCCTTAGGTCCAGGGGACACTTCTCCAAGTGCTATTTGACCATGCTTAGAGAATCTGTAATAGGACCAGCTCTTTTACCTTTGGCTAATATCTGTAACAGTTAAATAAGCCCTTTGTTTCACAAGTCCCTCTGCCTTGGGAATTTAACAATATCTACCCATCTACCTGCTCCCATGTCCCTCCTTGAGAAGCTCCCTGTATCCTCTACAGGGTCACCCTTCTGCACTAGGTATCATCTTCCTGCTTCTACTCAAGGACACTGCTCCAATAACTATTCCATCTCCTGTGTTAACAGTGTGTCCTCTATGAAACATTTTTACCAGCATGCACACATCTAGCACGTACTCTTCTGACTTTAGAACCTCCCAGCTACCACCTCTCCTCTCTCCTATTCTAGAGCAAAACTCACAAAACCTATTTCTTTATTTAAGATGCTACATTACTGCCCCCACACCTTCTAGTGTGCATTAATTCAAGACAAAAGAAATGGTTTCACTATGACACTGTCTACACATCTTCCTGCAACTCAAACTACTCTTTTAAGAAATCCTCAGTAGCCCCGACATCACAAAACCTATGGGCAGCTTCCAGGCCACACACAACTCCATCAGTCATTGCATTGTGGCTCTCTTTCCTTTTCAATGCGTTTCTCTACCTATCCTCGAGGGCACCAAAGGCAGATTTCCTCTTTCTCTTGCAACTATTCTCAAATGCTGCACTGGCCCCAGAGTTCATGCCAAAGTCTCTTCCTTTTCCTTCTATCCAAACGCCTAAGAATAGTGATCCACCAAGTTCCACTTGAAGTGTCATCGTACTTCAATGGCACCAATAAAAATATACTCTTCAGCTTCAGACCCTCAGACCTGCCCATTAAAAACTCACTCTGATGCCAAACCACGTCCGCAAACATGTCTGAGATCCTTACCTCACTTCTGACATGCACACTTAAATTGTTTTTATGCCTATTTTAGTAAAACATACTTCACTCTTTAAATTGTTGGACAGAATAAATTGTTGGGTGCTCCTTGATTATCTACTTTCCATAATCCACACTCAGGCTACCAAAAAGCCTACTGACCATAGTTCAAAAGAATGGCTAGAAAGACAGAAATATTCCTATCCTACCACACTGGTGTATTAATTTCTTCAACTACAATACGTCTTTTATTCTTAAGAAGCTACTGCCTCCAGAAAGATAGAACCACCATTCAGTAGTCTATGCAATAAACTACACTTAATGCAAGGCACTTTTCAGAGACTCTGGAATTCCTCCTGCAGTCACTTTGTCCTTAGGGTCTCCCCAGGGTCACCCACTTACTGTCAGCACACAGAGAAGTACACCACAACACACGCTATTATTTTCCTATCAGTGTAACTTCAAGTACCCTACAAATAGGAGAGAGAGAACTGTTCCTTCTGTCTTCCCCATGACAAATCACAACCTCTTTTTCTTTCTTACTTGGCTCTTCTTCATACACGATAGATTTCCTTTTGAAATGTCTAAGTGGGACATAAACAACTTATTGTTTAGATAATGAGTTACTGAATCATGTAACTACTAACATCCAACGTGGCAAAATGACTGTGATATGGCTTCTAAAGATGTCAAAAAAGGACTAAAATCCTCAGTGGAAATGACAGCGCATATTGGCTCTTACAGCAGACAAGCATGAAAAATACCAGGTGTGCTGAAGTCATGGAGAGCTTTTGTGTCTTTCTGACTAAACAAACCTGGCAAGTTTTAACTTCGAATCCCTGAAAACAGCATGGTGTAAGGCGACAGGCTCTACATTACTTAAGCAAATGTCTGGAATCCTTCTTTAAGAGGACTATCCACAGGGTAACACGTACCCCTAGGAATTCTTCCTGTTCCTTGGCAAGTGGGACAAGTGACGCTATCTCTTCCCGTAAACTCCACATACGGAAACTGAGAGACGTCTCCGTTTCTTCCGTCTTCATTATGCACTTCGTTGTTAACCAGTCCATTCCTCATATTGTCTGTCGATGTGACCCCATCATAACCTTCTTCTTTATTCGAATGCAAAGGCAAATGAGAAAGAGACTTTCCCATGTCTAATGAAAAAGAAAATTCTGACAGTAAATTCCAGGCTCAAAGGAATCTCATGGGATATTTACAGGGTTAGGTAACGGTAAATTACTTGTAGGATTAAAATTATACCCAGTCAAAATCATGTCTGCCATGAGGGAGGCATTTGCTAGGACCCAGAAATGCTCTTCTAACGAAATATGAAATGCGATCCGGGCGATGAGAATAAGGGTCAGAATGGTGATAACATTCGGTAAAAGTTTACAGTACATACAGACTTGAGGCCCTCTTAGCGTTCTTAAAAGAGATCTATGTCCTTATTCTTAGTTTTTACAGAAGCAAACATGTTTTAACTAGAAAGCAGTTGGCACTAAAGGTGAAATTAATTGCTGGCTTATTACAACCAAATGCCAGCTAATTTCACAGTGACATTTGACTCATTTAAAATTCATACTCTTTTGAGTTCCAAACTTGGGATTCTTGCTTCAAACAACTGCAAATATTTACAAAAAGAAGGAAATCTCTGAATCAGAAGTTTACTTAAGTCATGAATATTTTCCTCTAACAGTCTGGCAGTTAAGCAAATATTCAAAAATATTAAACATAATGTATTATAGAAAGTAGCACAATTTAGTATATTAATGTCAAAATTTTAGGGTAACAGTTTAGATAACAGAAGCTTACAATCCAAGGAAGAATAATTAATTACTCCTACAAGTCATACAGAAATAAGTCCTCCAGATAGGTCATGCAATACATTAAAGTCCTACAACTTCATGATGGAAAGGAACATGAAAAGTCATATAAAACAACATGCTGGTATTCTGAAAAAAAATTAATAGAAATCGAAAACATTTTTAATGATGCAATTCTATTCTTCCTACAGTTAACCATATATCATTTATCAGTTTCTAAATACCATTAAGCAATCAGTAAATATTACTTTTAAATTATTTAACAAATAAAACTAACTAAATAATTCAAGTCACCCTATATGAAGGAAATTTAGCTTTTCAAAATTTGTACACTATTTGCTGAATACTCATAGTATAGACAGTAACATTAAACAAAACACTTGAATAGTATACCAGAGTAAAAGGGTGAAATAATGAATAAAAGTATTTCCAAAAGTTTTATGGACACATTGCCTACCTAATCTCAAATAGATTAATGACTGTGACTTCCAAACAAACAGTATCCTAACTTGGCTCAATGAAAACAAATTAGAGCCAAACCAATACACTTGCCAGCCACAGGTGCACAGGGATGAATTTTAATCATTACTGCTCCCACACACTGTGACCTTGGAAGCTATGCAGAACACTGGGTGCTTTGGGAATGGCTGTCCTCAGCGGAAGCCATGGGGTACACCCTTTTAGCTCTCTTAGACAACAGGGGTGAAAAACTATGTCCACTGAAGACAGCTAAGTGGCTTTTGAGATCCACAGCAACCTTGACATATTTTGCTGAAGGCAGGTTTAGGCACGCACCAGATTAAGCAGTAACTTGAATCCTACGCTTCGTGTCTAGTTTTTCTTTAAGGTACTGCCAAGTGTAAGTACTGTTATTTGGAGACTTACTTGAGGTTTTAAAAGGAGTGTAAGATCCCCTTCGCCTCCTCCCTGGCCTCAATGTTTATGTCGCGGTCTTGTGAACTCAACACGGTTCTCAGATGGTCTGGAAACGGGGGTGAAAAAAAGATAAATACAGCACAGCATCCAACTGAGATGTGTCACCAGAAGCGGGGTCAGTTCTGAAGGGCTGGGGAGGAAGGGGAACTAGAGTCTTTCAAAGGGCGACACAAGCAAATCCCCGGATGATATCAACATCCGAGCCACCTTGCAACTAACTAGAAAGGGAGAACCCCACAACCGCTGGGCCGCCCAGATCAAGGGCCCTGGCGCCGCCCCAGGCCCAGCCGGCAGGAGGCCAAGGTCCTCGGGGACAGCTCCGCAC